CAAACCACTTGACTCCCACTTGCGACAAATACACTTAATTTCACCATTATCAAAATCAACTATGAGAAGTCTGCTGTCAAACCTTGAAAAGTCTGCTAACAATGTAAAGACATCAAAGATCTTTACATTCCCTTCTTGAGCTAACTCTGTATTAGGGAAAACATTGTATGAAAGAGATTCTTTGTACTGCCCTAGAAAAAGCTGGAATATTTTTGGGGTATATAGATCAGCAACTTGCTTGACAATAGCACTGCTTGAAAAGCGACAATCAGCAAACGTAGAAAGTGCTCTGTACTCCTCTTCTTCTTCAGCATCTCTCTTATTATCAAGCATCCTATCAAAATGTACAAAGAACCTAGGAATACTAAATTCTGACTGCAAGTAATGACGAAGATTACTGTTGCACACTCGCTTAACTGGGTGCTCTTCATACCAGCACCAAAATGAGAATTCACCCAAGCCGATGACCACTTCTCCCTCACCTTGTAAATACCTTGTAACCAACTGTGTCCAAGAGGTCCTTTCCCAGGGAAACACTTATCTATCATTCTTTTCCAATTATACTCAAAATCATCCTCATCATCAACATTGTACATCAAATAGCTAAGCTCACAAAGGAAATCCGAATCACACAAAGATCCCAAATTAACAACTGCATTCTGTGAGATATGCCATGAACACAATCCATGGAAAGAACTTGGGAAAACAGACCTTATACCAGCAGCAATTGCAGCAGCCTGATCAGTAAAAATAGACAACGGGCTCACACCTCCCATGCATTCCAAAAACTGATTAAACAACCACTCAAACGTTGCCGTTGTTTCATCATATAGAAGGGCAGCTCCAAACACAGTGAGTTGATGATGGTTGTTGAAACCAACAAACAGAGCTGCACATACCATGTGGTACACAGTGTTAAAAAATGAATACCACAAAATACCACCATAGTATTAACAGATAACAACATAATGAATACCACAAAATACCACCATAGTATTAACAGATAACAACATAATACCAAATAAAAATAACTATAATACAGAATAATCACAAAAATAAGAACACATACCTAGTGGTCGATACTCTTTATTCGTTCTGTATGTAGTATCAAAACTAACTGAATCCCCGAAAAAATGATAATCCATCCGCATCTTCCCATCTGCCCAAAAAATACTAGCAATATTCTCATCCACATCAACCTCTACCTCATGAAAAAAGCCAGGATCCAGCTTAGCTTGTCTTCTAAAGTGTTTTAGTAATGCAGTTGCATCACCATGCTCCATTGATGACGTCCTCACTGTCCGCAGGTGGTTCTTCAAATCATTTCTTGTGAAACCAATACACTTCCGACCACCACCAGCTGTACTAATTGCATTATACGAAGCAGTCGCACCTATACCAGCAGCATCATTCACATCTGCCAACAGTTTATACAAAGGAGCCATTTTTCTATTCGATCTCATGTAGTGACGCATAGCCACAGGAATCATGTCATGGTTATGCACATCATACCACTTATAAATCTTGTAACACTTGAACTGCTTAAACCACCTAATTCGAATATAGGCACCATCACATCCACCCCTGATTTCTGGAACATGACGAACACGAGCCTTCGCATCAATAGAACCACGATTAGCAGGATTATTCTCACTACCAATCCTCCAGCCTTCCTTATTGCAACAATACTTGATATAATAAACCGCATTTGAACCATTATTAAGCTTCGGACATGCCGACTGATGGTAAATCCTCACACAAAAACCTTTATAATTCCCATAATCCACATAAAATCTATATGCATCATCAGTTGTAGCGAACTCAAGATTGTTCCAGGAACTTCGAACATTAGGATCAATACCATCAAAACCTAAACCATAAAAACAATGAAACATTAATGCTGTACAAACTATAATACCACCATAGTATCATATGGTAAAGTTTATTACAATCAAAACTATACAAATACCAGTGTAGTTTCTTATGGTATAACATGGTATTGTATGGTATAACATATATACAGAAACATAAAATCACAACAACTATAAAAACAATCTACAACAAATAAAACACAACACTCATATGCAAAAATACCATAGAATACCAGTATGGTACTTTATGGTATAACATGGTAATATATGGTATAACATGGTATTGCACGGTATTGCATGGTATAAACATATATACAGAAACATAAAATCACAACAACTATAAAAACAATCTACAAAAAATAAAACACAACACTCATATGCAAAAATACTATAAAATACCAGTATGGTACTGTATGGTATAACATATATACAAACATCAACTTACCAAACACATTTAAAATTCTTACCTTCCGATTCAACAACACTATTAGAAGAACTAGATCCAGTATTAGATTCATTCAAAGAAACAATGGCGCCTTGATTAAGATCACTCATTGCACTAAAAAAGCTCAGTCAACAAAGAAGATTCAAAAAATTCCTGCACAAAACATAAATTCAACTACGGATCAATCAATTGAACAAACTTATACAAACATAATGAGATCATTGATCACAAAGAACAGAAAACAGAGAGCACAAAAGAGAAAACGCAGATATATGGTATAAACTGGTATTGCATGGTATAATCATATATACACAACATCAAAAACAAATTACAGAACGGAATCAATGCGCAAACGTGAAATCCTACTATCACTACAAATTACCTCGACGGAGACCAAACAACGGCCAGCAGAAACTTCAACACAAACAAATCGAGCCAAAACCTCGAGCAAGAAGAAGAAGAAGAATCGCGTCCTCCACAGACCTTCTAACAACTATAACTCGCAAGTCCGCTGCCGATTAAGCTAAGAATCGCGTCCTCCACCAACCTTCTCGCCATCGACAGATCCTTCGGAGAAAAACTCTCGATTGCTCTGTTTACTTCTCATTCTCTCTCATGAATCCAATTCCAGCTCGGCCAAGGATAAACAAAAAAGGAATAACGAGCGAAGGACATAAATTCAAAAAATGGACAAAAATACCCCTGCCCCACCCCGCTCCGACCCCAGCCGTTAGATCTCCCCGCTCCAGATGGACGGCTCCTGTTGGGTTACTGACGGGTGCATAACCATGGGTTATGCACCCTATCTTGGACCGAAGTTACTCATAATCTAACATCTTTAATCTTTATCTTTAAAAATATTAAAGCGCTTTTAATTTAAGACCCATGCCACGTACCACTTACTGGAATTTTATGCGGCCACGTCAGCCGCTCTAATTCCCCACCACCCCTAAGCCCGAACTCTAGCGTGATTGCGTGAACTTTTTACCGACTCTTTGCCCTCGATTAACCACGACATATACCTCATGGCCAGTGCTTACACATTGATTCTGCACCATCAATCGTACTTTGCCGGCGACTTAATCTACCATTCAATGCCTCGATTTTATTTGTGATGCAGTGATGCTTGCTCCACCGCCCATGTTCCCTCCACTGGATCCTTTTCCCATTCCCGATAATCATATCAGCCGCATATTATCCTCAATCTCCAGCGCTGATTTCACCCTTTCCGCCCACCCACAAAATTCAATTCCTCTTCCTATTTCCCTCCCCGTTCCTCCTGCTCTGTTTCCATCCCACTCAATAGCAATTGATATTACCAGAAGTCATCAGCGACCCAAATCGCGCTCTGCCGCAATCTTGCCGCCGCATAATAAAACAGATTTACTTCCCTCATTGACGGCTATTATCAAAGCACGACAAATTTGAATTTTTGAGGATTCATACAACAACCATTACAGCACTCCGGGCGCAAAATTGAATGGATTCCCTCGCCGACGACTGGTCAGTCATTGTCAGAGTACGGTAACATTGAAGTTTTGATGATTGTCTTAATTTGGGTGCATATTGCATTGTTGCTCCATTGTTTTAAGTTGCCCTTTTCTGAATCCCCTCTGTTTTTGCTCTGTCATACAAAGTAAGTCATGGTTGTATAACCTCTAAAGAGCACGGTTGACTGTTGAATATTACATTGGAGGCACAAAATTGTTGCTCCGACGATTCATTCACTGTATTATTGCTCATATTGGTTTGTTGTTAGATAAATTCTCACGTACTCATTTGACATAGGAAATCTCCCAATTTAATTTCATTGTGGAGAGCTTTGGTTTGGTTAATTCGTTCGTACAAGATTCAAGTTGTCTATTTCTTTGCTGATTATGCCGGATGACTACATGAATTTCTCCATATTTATTGTCCAAGTCGAATACAGCATAATGCATCAAATATATATAGCTAGATAAAATATATAGTTGACATATCTTGAGTAAGAAAATGATATCTAGACTTTGAAATTTGAGTTTGGCAATATATATATATATATATATATATATATATCAATAAAATAAGGAAGATCAGTTCAGTCAACCTGATTTATACCGTTGTGTTGGTTTAACAAGTCATATGGCTTGACCGGTGGTATAATCGTTTTTTGAAGGTTCATATCGATCTAATAAAATATGAAAAAAATATGAAAACATTAACATTTGAAGAATATATAAAAGATATTTAAAAACCCTTTACTTAGAATATATATTTTTTCGGTAATTTACTTAGAATATATAATTATATTTAAACAAAATAAAAAATTCTAAATAAAATAATAAATACTCATATTTAAATAAAATATTTAAAATCAATACCCACGCTTTTATACCATCAACATTTAATTTTTAAATCATGAAATAAATTACAAGTTAAATTTTTTATTAAATAAAGTCACTAAAACGATATTTATAGCCGGAAATTGATCATATCGATGATATTTAGACCGATTTTATAATCGACAGAGACTAAACCTAATTCAACCGACGACATTCCACTAGCCTAACAACCATGCATAATGCATAGTTAAATAAATACCGGATTTGCTCCGGAGGCGGAGAGAATCCGCGACCCGGGTTAATTTGGTCTGTGAAATTACAAATCAATCCTACAACTAATTCACTATTGACGTTGGCTTTGCCGTCTTCTGACCCTCCTCTTCCATTCCAACAATGGCGTCTCTTCGAACATCCAAAATCTACGAATAAAATAAACCCAGAAACCAGCCAAAACAAACCTGTTTTTTGGGGGTTGACTCCTAATTCCAAATCCTTCCGTCCTTCCTCTCTCTTCTCGTTTCTCTCTTATTTCTTTTCGTTAGGGAATTGGCCAATTGGGGCCGATTGCCCTGTGGCGAAGAAAATTTAATCAGGAAACATGGCGGATAATTCGATAGATGCGGAAAGGACGATGGATGGTGGTGTCACTGAGACGAGAAATGACATCCCAACTTCCACTTCTTCTGGGTATCGATTGTTCGGTCGGCAGGTCCCTCTTCACCAGTTCATGGGCGGTGGAAAAGGTAAAACACTGGAAACGTAAACCTGAAAAGGCCTTTTTGCTGAACTTCGTAGCTAGTTCGATGTAATCCAGAAAAATTGTCAGAATGGAATATATCTTCTTATTGGAGCCCAAAGTTGGTTCGTCTTCAAGTTATGATTTTTCGATAACGAGATGGTCGTACTGTTTCTTTTCTGCTCCTGCCTAAGGGGAATGGGATAACGTGGGGCGAGTGGAATAGCACATAGAGTTCCTCCAGTTGTTGTTATGCAAGAAACTTTCATACTTTTCTGTGTTACAGAGTTTAGCGAACTCGTAAAAAAAGCTTCAATTGAAGGGGAAAACTGTAGCTTGTGGTTGCAGTTATGCCGGCGAGGAGTGAGCGTATGTTTATGATAGTCTGATGGAAGGGAAATACTGTAGTTTGTGGCCTGCAGTAATGCAGGCAAGTATTTGGATTATATTTATGATAGTCTGATCTGATGTTCTTAACTATTGGGATTTAGTCTCCTGTGCTTGTAAGTTGTAACTGTCAACTGTGTGAAATCTTTCATTTTCATTTCGTTCAGTCCCATAGTTTCTCGGGCCCTCATGGCTCTCTTGATGCTGTTGGGGATGTTGATTGTTTGACATGATAAGAGGATAGTATGGTGTCCTTGCATTGTCTCTTGATGCATCTGCTAGTCTTTCATACACTTTTGCTCGACTGAAGAACACAATCAGGGACAATATTTCAATACTTGACAAAGCACAAGTTTCTTTTTCCATGTATGCCGTTGATGTATAATGATATGTCATATACCAAAAAGTTGAACATCATTTATGCTATACATTCCTTGCATGTCAAAGGAAGTTCGCTGTGTAGCTTTCCACATCAAACATGCACTCTCTCTGTCTATTCACTATTGCTAGTGTTATTTTATAACGCTTCTCTCATTTTATGTAGCTGCTGATGTACTCTTGTGGAAGCGGCGACGCATTTCCTTTGGCGTTGTTGTTGTGGTGACATTGGGGTGGTTCTTATTTGAACGCTCTGGATTACCATTCTTAACAGTTAGCTCAGATGTCCTGTTGATTCTGATAGTTATGTTGTTTGCCCATTCCAACTATGCTGCTATGAGAAACAAGTAAAAACCTGTATACCCTACCTTTGCTTGTTGTAAGCTTGTTCTTCCACTAGGATTTTGATTGAAAAAACCAAGTTGTCCATGATAACCGTTCTATGGTTTCTAATTTGAGCAGACAACTGCAGTCATTACCAGAACTAGTCGTGTCAGAGGAAATGGTGAACAGTGTTGCAGCATCTTTTCGGGTTAAAATCAACAACTTGCTTCTCATGGCTCATGAAATCACCCTTGGCAAAGATTTTAGACTCTTCTTTAAGGTCGTCATTGCATCAATTTAAAAACAATAACCAAGATTTTTTTTTTTTTTTTTTGCATATGTGAAGCTGATTTCAGAAGTCGGGTCTAACTTCTTCATCTTCTCGTCTACTCGTGCAGGTGGTCGTCTCTTTGTGGCTCTTATCTGCAATTGGTAGCTACTTCTCTTTCTTCACTTTAGCCTATATAGGTGAGTTTTCATCGTGATTTTCTGATCCAACTAAGCATTTCTGCAGCAAACTGCTGCAAAATAGTATTTTTACAAAATGCGAAACTTCAGATTTGATGAGTAACACATTGTCTGCTGAATGGTGTTGCTCACAGGAACAGTGTTATCAATTACGGTTCCAGCATTGTATGGTAAGAATGAAGATCGAGTGGATAGATATTTCGGGATGATCCACAAGAGGTTTAAGATAGTGGATGAGAGTGTTATTAGTAGAATTCCTCAGGGATTATCATCCAAGGACAAAGATACCTGACTGGTACGCTACATACATACATATGTTGGAGAATTCTTGTTGTCTTCTGGTTATAAGACGGTGAAGGGCCTTGCGGCTGATTTCGGAGGAATTGCTTGTACAAATGAACCAAATTGAACTAACTTGTTCCCCATTCCGATACTTCTGTTTTTGGAATACGAGATTTGGAAGTTTGATCAAGCAAGTTGAAAATTTTATTATAAAATGTATTTTTCCTTTACTGAATGCGTTGTTGTATGCCTGTGTTTTGACTTTTGAGAGTTGGACGCCATCAGTCGGCCTTAGCCTCTTATTGATTATTGTTGTCAAAAAGGAAAGTAACCTAACTGATCGAACATGGAAACTTGTACTGGAAGAATAGGGTTTACATAAAATAGGTCACTGACGAACAGAGAGACTCAGAAAAAACTCCATTGCACCCAATCCCCTGAAGCCTGAAGTGATTGAACATCCTCCAACCCCACACAATGCATATCAGCTTCATCGACTGTCATCGTCTACTACTACTAGGATGCAAGAACTTCAAAGAGGCGTCTAACTAACTTGCACTTCTTTGTACACTTTTATTCTTGGAGCAATTCCTTTGCCTTCTTGACCCAAACAGCATAGATTTCATCCGAGAACAAGACAAAATGTACCTGCCGAATTGAGAAAATGAGGTCAGTATATGAGTTCAGTTTTATTCTAGATGTTTGCTGTATATGAAGGCAATGACTTGAAAAATGTCGCGAAATCAAGGTTTATGATAATGAACTGTGGCCTCTAGGGCTCATCGAACCGAAAATGAAACAATATAGAGAATTTTGATACCTCTTTGAAGTCATTTGCAAATTCTTTGATAGTAGATATAGCCACATCAGCAGCTTCTTCAAAAGGATACCTGAAACAGTTATGAAGCAAAGGGAGAAGTCTTTTCAAGAGTCCAATCAACTTATGACAGGCCAAATCCTCGAGTTTCGTACTTCTCATGGCTCCATTGAGTTGGTTCATCTGCAGAGTGTAGAAACTCTAAAAGACAAACCAACTTCGCCATTCGTCAAGTTTCTTTACTTATCTCATCCAAACACACATGAAGACAGACAATAAAAAAGCAGGCCAATGTGTATCAATGAGGTCAATCTTACCCGTAAACACCACAAGATACGGCTGGGAATGCCACATACTTGATGTTATTATCTCTGGCAACATTCAAGCTGTTCCTGCAACCATGGATTAACAAACTGAATTCAGCATCCCAAATTAGAACACCAGCTTTAAAGTGACATCAACAGCCCCATACGACAGATGCTGTGCAACTGTTACCAACCTATATGCATTTGTCAGAGATGCTTTAGGGTTGTTATTAGTGTCATAGATAGGGCCTACAGTGTGAATGACATGGGATGCTGGCAATCTGAAGCCTCTGGAGACATATTCAACAACCCAAAGAAAAAGAAAAGAGGAGACAGAAGAATGAGTGATCGATCAGATGTGTCATAAAACGAGGGTGTTTCTTTAAAGCACCAAAGAAAGAGCATACGGGGTAATCCTTGCTTCTCCTGTTGGACAGCGGATACCAGCACTCACTTCAGGGACCTTAAAGCAAGCTTCACGCAGTTCTGGTCCAGCAGCTCTATGAATAGCTAACAAAATCCACCGCCACTGAAAATGTAAAACTAAGAACACACTGAAAAATGAATTTCATCGTTATGTAAAGCTCAAAGTTACCTCCATCCGCACCACCACCTCCAAGCATTCTCTCATTTGCTGGGTTAACCTGATAGAACAAACAGCCACAGATTCAAATGAAAGGAAAACGACCCATTTCCATTGACTCCAAAGCTGTATAAACCCACATAACCAGGAAAAGAAAAATCAAGACCACTTCGATGAAGCATCAAAACTCATCAGCACGGAATTGAACAGGAATCGCCCAGGAGATCATCTTGAAAGATGGAGACAAAAGGGCGGAAAGGGAAATGAGAGTTACTTACAATGGCATCGGAGGAAGCATCGACGAACCACTTGGTGATGTCTCCTTTATTGATCTTCAAGACATTGGAGGCAGAGAGAGGGAAAGCGACAGCGGAGGAGCTGTCTCCAGCAGCAGAGGTGGCCATTGGTGAGGTTAGGGGTTGAGGAAAGGAAGTAGGACGGTGGTTGGGGTGGCGGAGGAAAGAGTAGGAGCGCGAGAATTTGGTAAGAAGAGAAGACGACGGATGAAAGGTATGCGAAGAAGAAGACTGTGGGAGGAGGGAGGATTGCCGGGAGAGTGGCCGGGTGGGTTGTGATTGTAACAATGAAAAGAGGGCTCGTCTGGTCATTGATGAGAAGAAATCGTCCCCCCTACTCCTCAATTCATTCTTCTCCTCCTCCTTCCCCAAACCCAGGTCAATGGAAATGTACGAGGACGCTAAACGCGTCTTCTCGAGTGTCGACCGTGATTTTTTCCCCGGTAGAAACACTCTAGCTTTTTACCCGACCCGTTGGTCGGATGAATTTAGTTTTATTTATTATATTTTTATATTAATTGTTTTTTCATATTTTCAAATAATTTGGGATCGTCTAAATAATTTATTAGTGGGTTGAAACTATTATTTGTGCGAATTATTGATTGTAACATTAGTTAGTTTATAAGTATTTGTATTGATCATGCTATCGCTTACTGTTGTCTATATATTTTTTACATTTAAGAAAAAAAATCACTTCCTATTGTTAGAATAAATTACTTCAAAAATATTTCTTCATAAAATTTGATATTATTCACTTATTTTTATATTATATCCATGAAAATAAAATAATTAAGCATTGAAGTATTAATTATAAACTCCAAGGGATTTTCCCTATTAGTAATTTGGAGGGATAAAATTTATCAAATAAAGGATTCAAATTTTATGGTCGACAACCATTAGGTACTAATTGAGAAAATACAAATTATTAACTAATAATTCACTTTTAAATAATATATATCTCCAAAAGGAGTTGTGGTTGTTAATAGCTAACATTAATGTATACGGATAGTACAATGCTATTATAATGGACATATCTGAAATATTCCAATTATTTCTTCAAAAATTTTAATTAAATAAGGCACTCTATAATTCAAACATACAATCATTTGTTGTGAAAATTAAGTTTCTGAAAAAGATTCATGATTTTAGAAAATCAATATGGATTTTTTATAATTGATTTTGGTGTTGCCTTTGATATCTAAAAGTCAACACTTATAGATTTGTCTACTATGTCATTTGAAAGATTCTAAAAATTTATAACAAATATGTGCCACCAACAAATAAAAACTTTTTTTTCAAAAATTTGTGTGCTCATAAATTTGTTCTTAGCTTTGTGCTCGGCCTTTAGCTCGATAGTATAACATATGCTAAATTTACGACAGTCCTTGTGTCTGCCACCTATTTCATAGCATATAAGGTTTCGAGTATCCACAAATATTAGTACGCTTTCAACAATTATGTTCATAGTTACACGTATACTAACATTATGAAGTGAAAATTTACAACAATAAATTACTATAATAAATAAAATTAATTAAAAAGAATACCATCCGTAAAGCTCAAGAATTATTAGTGAATTAGTTGGTAATAATCTATTATCCTCTTGCAAAAAAATGGACAATTACATTATGCTCATCGCTATTTTTGGAAGGTCAGATGATCAACAATAAAAGTCGGGGAATTTCAAGAAGATTCCCAAAGATGTTTCCCTCCCTCCAGGCAAATGATTGACTTCGCTTTTGCTAGTAGAGAATGGAGCTGTTATACCTGCATAAAACAATGTCTCTTGAAATAGTGTTTATTTTGAACAATTTGCACAATTCCAAATTGATTGATAGGTCAACGCGATCACATATTTTATTGACTTATCTGTTGATCATTATAATTAGAAGCAACAAATAAAATGAAAAGCATAGTGATAAAGATGACTATTAATACCATAGACCGATAGACGCATCCCTCTTCGCTACTTTCTGTTGGCAACTATGGAAAATTAGAAACCTCTGGGTCTTCGAGAGACTATTGGCGCCGACAACCCAGTTAGCCTACCAAATCCGGCAAATGCAAGTGCAGATTGATCAATCTTCCAGGAGGATTGGGCAGGTTCTCGGGGAGGCTACAGAGCGGGTGGAAATGATGCTTGGCTAGTTGGCTGGGAACCACCTCTGCAGGGAAGGACCTGTTTGAATACTGATGGCTCTGTTAACACAAGCCAAGGGAACTCAGCAGCGGGAGGAGCGTTATGCGGATAGGACTGTCAGTTTGTGAGAGCTTTTACGGCCAATCTGGGTGGTGGCTCGATCATCCATGCTGAACTGGCGGGGATTTTTCATGGACTCAGCATGACTTGGGACACAGGGATCCAACAACTTCAGCTGCTAACAGATTCGGCAACGACGCTCGCCCTCGTCAATGACGATTCTTCCAGTCATCCTCATCATACTTTAGTCGCAGAGGTGCGACAGCTGCTGGCTCAAGACTGGGAAGTCAGCTAGAGCATGTGTTCTGGGAGAGAAATTATGTAGCGGACTATTTGGCTTCACTTGGACACACTATTCATTTTGGGATCTGGTTTGTGGATAACCCAAGTCATATGCTCAACTACTGGTTGTACTTTGACGCGCTTGGGACTCAGATCCTACATATGATTAATAGTTAAGGATTAGAGCGTCCGTCTGAGCTCTCTTTTTTACCAACAACAAAAAAAGACGACTATTACTCCCAAATAAAAGCAATGTTCAAGAAGACGCTAGGCGCTATCTAGGCGAGGAGGCACCGCCAAACCCATGCCGATTTGTCCTTGTCTAGGCGAGATTAAACGTAAAAAAAATGATATATAAGCCTTATTCCACAAAAACTCAAGTCTTCATATCATTATTCATCCATTCAAATATACATACAACCATTTTCCACAATCCCAAACATCCCAAGTCGCCAACCATGCGGAGGGATCTCATTGGTGGTCAATGAGGGGGAGCGGCTAGTCGAATGGAAATGGGAAATAGAATAGGGTTTGGGATTTTCACAAAAAGACTACAATTTCCCCTTTATTAGTTGTTTTGGGCGTCGCCCACCAAAGTGAAAATACGTCTCCGAGTGCCCAGGTGCCTAGATCAATCACCCAGGGCTAGACTGGGTGATTTCCTCCTGCCCAGCTATTAATCGTGCCTAGGCGAGAGATTAATCGCGTCTTCTTGAACACTGAATAAAAGTGGACCAAACAAAGATATTACATCAAACTCATTTCAGTTCCATCTTAACACAGTATCGGAGGCATATACTATTATTATACAAATGATCTTACGCTCTCAATTAGGAACTAAACGAAGGTTAAATGCTTGATTGCCAAACTAAATCGATGAACCTAGTGATCTTAAGAAAAAATAATTATCACATGATTTCTTGGACCAAACTACTAAAGGAAAAAAAGAAAAAAGAGACCGTACATTAGCATAAGAACTCAACAAATTACTTATAAGAACTAATGACATAAGGAAAATGTAAACTCAAACCGTTCTTCCGAAGGTCATGGATTAAATCATTAGTTGTCGATTACATAGCCTAAACTGCAAGTTATATCCAAAATAGAGGCAATTTAGAAACAAAAAAGTTAGATAAGAAAGCCGTGAAACACAGAAAAATTGAGTGTACAAAGTGGGAAGTATTGCTTTCAATTAAGCTTGATTATGTTGACATAAAGCAGGCACACATTGATGTTGGAAACCTAAACAAAAAGCTTAAAAAGTGGCAAGAGAATTCTTCCCTTGAGGTTCAAATATAGCCTACCTATATGAGCAGAGCCAAGTAATTACCATGATTCCATTTTACACATACCATCTCACAACCAACTGCTGCTAATGCTCTGGTCCGTTCCAAACCTCACCTGCTCATATCTCCAATACCATATCACAAAACCAAGAATTATACACAACTAAAAGATCCAATAAGGAGAGTAACTTAGCATGGAACTTTGTTGCTTTTGAATTGAATAACCAATTGAAGAATATTGAAAAATGAGTTCAAAACCCCAAGAAACTATACACTATCATCCTAGTCAGTCTGGAAGCCTACTAATTCCATCTTCTGCTGACTCAAACTAAATTCATACCGGCCACAACTTTGCTGCCAACAGAAGAGAGAAAAGAATGGAGGGTGTAGAAACTGACCTTGTCACTATAGGCAAAAAGGATTAAGGGCCAGCATAGAAAGTGAAAAACCAATTTAGAGACATAATAACCATTGATGTTGTTGCCCCATGGAATCATATACTTCTCCAAAACCAATTAACTGTCAATTGAGTAGAGCAGCAACCAATCCTAGCAAATTATATTTGCAATCATATACTACCCTCTCTCCCCACTTACCGTTCGATACTTACAACGGTCTCTTTATCCAGGTTCAAGGTCCACTTAGCTTTCACATAAATGGTTCCTTCTCTTCTACACTCATGGCTTCAGGTTGGGTCCGGGTCCTCTGTGGAGGAGAGGAGAAAATATGTAGTGATTGAGCCCACCCAATTGGGATATGTGCTTCTTCTAATCTGGTTCATGGATACAAATACCAAGACATTGATGTAAGATGTTACCTGAATATCCCATTATGGGTTCATACTAAATATGCAGAGAATACCATAAGGTAGAGATGGGAGCAGAGCTGGTGATGGAATCAAGAGGCAGCCTTTTCTAATCCAACATGGACTACTTGTGGTAAGTTCAGTTCCGAGTCCTGCAATTTTGCAAGGGCAATAAAACTCTTCCCACCAAGTATAAATGCATACTTTATCCTTAGTTACATGACCTAGGTAGCTGCATCAATGTTCTTAAAAGATACTTCATAAATCATGACTCTATTGAGTTCAGAGCATACGGAAAAAAAATATTATACTATTGGAACACAATTCTCTACTTCGAATCTCAAACTAATCACAATAGAAAAGAAAGAAGAGGACCAACCTGACTAAGGGGAAACTGTACCAAAAGTAAACTTGGAGAACTTGAGAGATGACAGAATTATGAGTCTGTATTCTTCAAGAGTCGGCAAAACTGAGCTCTTTATCAGCTTAGACGCTGCCTGCAGAGCAGCAAGATTTCCAAACATAAATATTTCAACATCACCGCATCAAACCACAGTTTCCCAAACATTCATCAAGATTCAAGCTTAACAAATGGGAGGCAGGTCAGGATCATAGTGCAATTTGAAAGTTGTGCAAAGATCTTTACAACGGTTCAGCAGGATTGAAATTTTCGGGCGAGAAAAAAATGAACGCCTAAGGTTCTTCAAGATGACTGTTAGCGGGTATAGCTAACAACTCGGAGCTAAATATAGAGTGGGATTTAAGGTTCCCCTTCACACGCTAAGCGCATGATGTGAAGCAGCAACATGCCTAGATAATGAGATCATATCATCAGTTTCCCTACATTAGTCATTACTAATGTACTCTTTCTCTTTTTTTAAAATGG